GGAAGGTGGAGTGGGGCTGGGGCCCCCCTTGCCACCGCATTGCCTCCCAGGCAGAAAGGAGGGCCCCGAGGTCACTGCCTTGCAGAGTGGCCAGTATATATTATCTGATGATGAGATATATATATATCTCATATATATATGAGGTATATATATCTGATGATGAGATATATATATCTCATTTCATGGCCATAACAATATTGCAAGGAAGTGGTAACAGTAGAAAATAAAATAGTAACAATAATAATGTAACAATATAGCAGTTGCACTTACCGAGTACTTACTATGGGGTCAGCTAATGTACTAAAGACTTCCTACACATTTCTCATGCGGTTATTATGCCCCTTTTACAGATGAGTAAGTGGAGGCTCGTAGAGGTTAAGTGAGATTTTCTCAAGGCCACAGAGGCCGTAAGTAGCAGAGCTGGACCCTTTACCTTCTAGATTTTCACTTTATATCCTTAAGGAGGAATACTGGGGAACATTTAAAATGTACAAGAGCATTGGGAATGATTTATTTCCAAGATTCTTGATTGCGGGGAATCCGTAGCCAGCAAGTGGTTGCAAAGGGAGTCTGCATCTCACTTGGAAGAAGAAAATGCTGATAGGGCAGTGAGTTCTTTGGCTTTCTCATCCAGACTGTGCATGTCATTGCTTTTGTCCCCTCCTTCTTGGCCAGTAGCTAGGTCCCTGGGCAGATTAAGTTGTTAGAAGAGCGATGGTCAGCCAGAGATCACAGATGTGCAAAAGACGGCTCTTCCGAAGGCTTTGTGTCCAATGGCTGGACTCTCCACCGCGGCCCTTCCCAGGCGGCCTCTCTGAAATTGCCCTTTGGCAGTAGCTTTAGCCCCCGACTCCAGCATTGGGCTGCGGTGATTTGTGGGTGGAATTTGCGAGCGTAAAGGGGTCCTGTACTGTTTGTTTCTGGGGCATAGTTTCAAAAGAAAATGGCATTTTATAGCCTGTATTAATGGGAAATTACTTTCCATTAGGATTCTGACTGATTTGCACATAATGTTTATAAAGTAAAGGAAAAATGTCAAGCATTTCACTAACAATTTAAAGCAAAGCTCACGGGACTGTGCCAGGAACGCATTCCAAGAACATTTTCTTCATCATTTCTTTCTAAAGAAACAGAAAAGAGGGAGATGAAAGGATGCAGGTCAATTAAGCAGAATCCATCGTGGGACTGAGATGGAATCTTTGATAATACACTTCTCGCTGCCTAAGAGAAAGAATAAAGTGAGCCAGGAGCAGGGAAGGGGGTGGGGGCGGTGGAAGTCACATCTTGAGATGATGGATTGCAGGCAGAACCAAGTTCAGCCCTGGCTTGGAGGACACACAGCCCGTCCAAGCTCAGGCACGTGGGGTCACCACGCTTCATCAGCATGTGCTGCTCCCGTGTCCCCAAAGAGATGACAGGGCCAAGAAAAGTCCCCCGGACTGAAACGTGTGCCTGCATTGTTCCCGGAAAACCCTCGGTTTTGAAGAAAATAGTGGAGGAGTTTGCAGCCTAGGCTCACACGTCTTCCCCGCCCCAGCTCATGGGTATCTGGCCCCTTGTTGTCACTTACGGAATTAGAAAAAGTATACTTTGCATTTTTTATCAACTCATTTATTTATGAGGTTATTTTTTCCCCCCCATTTAAGTTCTTAAAGAGGGTGTCACTTTATATAATTACAACTTAGGGTTAATACGTTCCAGCTTGAGGTCGACTTTGAAAATATGGAAGGCTGAGGGTAGTGAACACGTGTGGGTTCCAAGTGTGCGCTACGGGCATTTCAGAGCGAGGCAAAATAAATCTCTCAAATGGCTTCTATGAAGACATTCTCACTCCCTCCAGGTATAAAAGAGACTTTTATAAAGTTCTTGACACTGCTAAGGGGCTCGGAAATAATGTCTAGAGTCTGAGTCGTTCCCCTCATCAGAGCAAAAATCTCTGGGATTACATTAGAAAATAAACATTTATTCAAAAGTCAAGTGTGAAGTTCGAAACTTGAAGAAGACGAGCACTTTGCAAATAGAAATATATGCATTTTTTTTTTTACCTAAATTTCCAAAGAGGAAATTAAAATTGTCACTCAGCAGGGGCAGCAATGATTGCTCAGTGGCCAGGTTGTTTCTTGCTTTTTCTTCTTTCCTTCCCATAGCTTTCTGGTTTGTTTTGCTCTCACCAGCCCTCCCCCCATATGCATTTCTCTACATTATCAGCCGTGGGCCGATCAGCACTATTGACAAGAGAGAAACAAGGAAACAGGAGTCCTACAGTATAGCTCAGAATCTGGCACTCATTAGCTGTGTGACTTTGGGTGAGTTTCTTAACTTCTCTGGGCGGATTTGAACTTGTCCCTAAATGAAGTGATTGGACTGAACACATTGCAAGTTTCTTCCCCTCTCAATGCTATGGCTGCTGCAGTTCTATTTTATGAGTATTTAGCATTCTTAAAAACTTGAGAAGTGCACAGATTGAACATTTTATATGTTCTCTGTTTAAAAAAATATTTCTTTAAAACGATGAAATGTGAGCTATGATTCTTATTGTTGCTCAGTAGCCACTGATTCAGGAAAGGGGAAGAGTCCTTCTCTTATTTTTCATCCCCAAGGAAGCTTTAGAGGGAAAGGCTTTCTCACTGCAGGGAATGGCTTTCCGTAATTCTTTTAAACAGTCTGTAAAAAGAATTTTCGGAAAGCCGTAAGGTGTAACTTCTAATTTAGCAGTGGGAACTTTAATACCACATGGCTGAAATGATGGCATGATTTTATTATCTCAAATGCCGCCTATTTAAAAATTTGGATATTCTGCAGTGATGATGCATTTGGTCTTTAGGTTAAAATTTGAAATGCCATCATCTCATCATCTAAATATTAATATAGGTACTTATGTTTTTAAAAAATAGTGTAGAAGTCGATGTTTCCAGGGATAACACATAGGGCAGCTATAGGGCACAGTCCCAGAGGACTTTATGTTTGAGTCCACGAGAATGACCCCCCGGAGTTGTCCCGTGGGTGTGGCCCAGCTGTAAACCCCAATGCCAGATTAGGGGATGAGAAACACTGGGGAAGCGTAGGAAAGCAGTGCCAGGTCAGACCTGGCACCAGGTGGCTGTCACCGGACCTCCACGACAGGTGCACAAAAGGGAAGAGGTGAGTCTATAGCCAAGTGCCGAATACTTGCCCTGTCCAAAGGGGCGCTGGCTGTCAGGAGCAGCTGTTTGTTGCCCAGGAATATGGGCCCAGAAGAGCCGGCCTTTCTGATTTTTCAAGAGAAGCCAGAAATCATATATTTGTTTACATGCAAGCTCCTGATTTTTAGATATTGGTAACTAAGCCACACTGTATGGAGCAAGGAGCAAGCCAAACAAAACCCATCTGTGAGCTTGAACTCCATGCCATTGGCCAGGAAGCCACCTCTGATTAAGGCCACAGTGTGTCTTCGGCTCTCCCTTCACTCGGAGCGCCAAAGACAGCCCACAAACACGGGACCTGGTGGTCCCAGGAAGCTTTTGAGATAACGTCTCAGGACAAGCAAGGCTGTGCAAGGGTGGGGGCGCACAAAGCTTACTGCTCACACCCATCTCCTGCAGCCCGTGTAAGTTGTGGAGGATTGGAATTCAGGTTAAAACAAATCACACATGCTTATTTTTATAGATTACAGTATAATGATGAAGTTTGAGTTTCCCTGACAAGGGATTTCAATAAAACACATCTCCTGTGGACACATACAGTGTTCCTGTTTCTAGAAAGACAGTTCGTAGGCTTTCACTAGACTTTTCATAGTAATTTAGTACTTTACTTGTCTTAGTTAGCTTGGGCGGCTATAACAGAATACCACAGACCAGGGGGCTCGAACAACAAACACTTATTTCTCCCAGTGCTGAGGCTGGGAGATCCGAGATCAAAGTGCCACCAGATGCTGCGTCTGGTGAGGGTCCGCTTCCTGGTTCACGGAGGGCCGTCTTCTTGTCCTGATAGGGCAGCATTGTCCCATTTAGGAGGGTCACCCTCATGAACCTAATCACCTTCCCGAAGCCCCACATGTCACTGCCCTGGGGATTAGGGCTTCGACATATGAATTTGGAGGGGATGCAGACATTCAATCCATAGCATTAACCACAGATTAAGGCATAAAATTTGCAGGTAAGAAAATCAGGGCCCAGGGGTGACCTAATCCAGAGCTAGAAACCAGGGATCTGAAGTTCCCATGTAGTTTATTACCAGCGGACAAAAATAGCATGTTAGCGGTGGTGAACAAAATGGTTTTCATGGTATTTATTACAATTCCGCACCAGCGCTGTGTCTGGGTCAGCTGAAGGGACGGTGTTTAGCTTCCAAAGAATTTTTCTGCGAGTGCTTGAGATTTTAGATCGGGAAAAGAGAAATTACAATTTGAACCAAAAATGTTCATTCTAATTCAAAAGAGATGGTATCTCATAGGTTGAGCGGGGTGCCTGGCCGGGAGGGAGTACGCACTCATTGAGTGTCTGAGAGGAGTCTGAACCGGAAATAAATTGGAAAGTGTGAATCCGTTCTGTGCCCCGGTGTGTTAAGAGGTGAACTACCCCGTCATCCTACGTTGCAGGCACGGCCAGGTCTCCCTCCAGAGGGAGGCTCGGGTCCCATTCTCAGTGGGGGTAACTCCACCTGTTAACAGGAAACTTCCTCTCTGCTCCTCAGCAGCCCCACGGGTGCGTGACCTTCCAGACTCCAGACCGGGAAGTGGGCAGAATGTGAGCCTACCCGGCCCGGATGGGTGTCACCTGCCGGCCCCACCATTAGGTGGGCTGTGGGGTCACAGGGAGGCCCAGGTCCTGGCTCTCACTCCCTCCTTCTGGGTCTCAGTTTCCCCTTCGAGAGAATAGGAATTATCACCCTGACCACCCGGGGTTATTCTAAGATCACCTCGATCAGAGGTGCTGGGCACACCCGGTGCTGGCCGCCGAGCAAGAGCCCACCCCCTGATGGCTGTTCGTGTTACCTAACTGGTTATCTGATTTCTTAGCCTACAGCAGACTGGAAGCAGCAGATTAGGAAGGCCGAGGGACTGCTTCGGGAAGGCCCACTGACGGCAGAAAAGTGACAGGTTGCAGCCCAGCGACAAGGGAGGCAAGAGAAAGACTAAAAAAAAAAAAGCAGGAACAAAAAGTCAAAAGGCACAGCAGTCTGGGGCATTTACTAAAAGACAAAGAGCCTCCTCAGGTCAGTAGCTTCTGCAGACGCCATACCTCGTTCCCTGATAGGCACTCACGTCAACAGCAGTTTATGAATCACTTCTCTCTCTGTCCCCTTTCCCTTCCAAAAAATAGGAATGGGGGAGTGGGGGGCATCATAGCTTGCCTTTCAGTGGGGATGCTCTGTCCCGGGTCCCTCCAGGGAATGAAATCCCCAGAGTCAGGGCAGGCAGAGAAGAGTGAGCCAGGGGGCTCCTTTGAGGGTCTGAAAGGGACCCAAGTTTAAGTCCAGCAAAAGAGTGGCGATGTTTTCGTGCTACCGAGAGAAGGATGCCCCCTGTCGCGCCGACCACTCCCTTGCCTCTCCCCATCCATGGCAGTCAGCACCAGCAGGAGAAATCCAGCTCTGGAGAACCAGCCCCCAGATCCTGGCACGTGGCAAAGGAAGCGGGGAGAGAGCACAGGAGTAGACCGGGCTGCAGAAACGCCAGGCTCATCGGATGCCACGTCCACTCTGGTGGCTAATCCACCACCCGGAGTCTACTCCTGTATTTGCTTTGTTTTTTTTTTGTTTTTTAATTGAAGCCTGAGCTGCTCCTTTGAAGCAGGGGCTCAGGCAGAAGAAAACAGGACAGAGAATAAGTACCCAGAGGACATCCCTGGAGTATGTGGGACCTGGGTAGACCTTTGAGGACCAGGGAGGGATTTAGGGGAGAATGCTCCCAAAGAGCATTGCAGGGCCTGGGAGCTCCCCAGAGCATGCCAAGCTGAGGACGCACAGGCTCACCAAGCCCAACTGATAGACCCCGCTCCCTACCCTCACCCCCACCCTCGGCTTGGGGTTGGCTCAGAAACTGAGTGGGGATGAACTCACAGGCTAATGATTTTCAGATCAAGAGCAGACTGTGGGCCCAGATGGAGGTCAAGTCTCAGCCTCATTGCTGAACTGCTTTGAACCTGTGTATGCCTTAATTTCTCCATCCATCAAACTGGGGGGAGTAAAGTACCAAAGTAAATCCACTGATGTCAGTGAGGCACTTAGAATTTTGTCCTGGCACTGAGGGTTATGATGTCATCCCCGTTGCTGACGGGGGCTGAGGACCATGGGACCACCACTGGGATGAGATGTGCGAGGCATCTCTGTATGAGTGCGTAGCCCTCTGCATCAGGGACTTGCGGAAACAGAAGGTGGGGTGGGGAAGGGCACTCCCCAGAATTTCAGTGTTGTGAAAATAGTAAGAGGGGACCCAATATTGTTAGGAGCTGGGCCACATTATTGCCGAGAGGGAAAGGAAATGTATTTTAGGGAGAACATGATTTCCCTACCCATTGTGCATTCCTGTTGCAGTACGTACTCAACCAGCCCCCTTGAAACTCTTGTGTTCTGGTGTCCTTTCTTTTTTTCTCCTAATGGTGTGGCTCAGAACTTGAATAATAAATATTCAACAGGGACACTCCCTTTTCTCTGTTAAAATAATCTTTGTTTCGGTGCTTTAACAAGGAAGTCTGTGTTTTTCCCACCTCTACTCTCATGTTACGTTAAGCCAGGTCTCGGGAGTAAGAGAAAATAAACACGACCGCTCGGCCAGGGCGGGCGGGCGGAGGCAGCGTCCTTGCTGGGCAGCCCAGGCTGGGGCTGGGGGCGTCAGACCGGACAGCACGCGCCTCCTCATCAGCCGCCGGGTGCACGGGCGGTCAAGGGGCAGCAGCCGCAAGACCCCAGGGGACAAAAGGAACGAGTTGTCCCCAGAGCTGGGACACTGGGGAGGACCCATCTTTCCTTACGGGAAGGTTTCAGCAGAAGTGCTGGCTTCCGGTCGTGGGAAACCGGGCCCCCGGGCACCGTGCAGGTGTTTGTGTCTGGTCTCTGAGGAGAGGCAGCCTGTTCTGCCTGGCCCTGTGGGCTCCGTCCATGCTGCCTCTGACTTCTCCTCTCTTGTGGAGGGGGAAGCTTCCTCTGTGATCACTTCGGGGGGCAGAAACTTTACTTCTCTTCAAGTGAACTGAACTTGCTTATGAGTCTCCATTTAGACCGGTGGCGGAAACAAGTTAATCTTTTTTCCATTTCTACTGTTGGCCAAAAAAAAAGAAAAAGAAAAAAAAATTAATCTTTTTTCCATCTCTTCTAATGGTGGAAAAAAAACATAATCTTGCCATTTCAAGGTAACTCGGTCTCTTTCAAGAGAAAGTAGACTATACATTTATTACTTGGTCAATTTAGGACTTAAACCCAGTCAGTTCCGTTGAGACTCCCCGTCAGGGCTGTTGGTCTTTCTCACAGACCCTCTCCTCCGCACGCCTCTCGCCCAAGACGGTGCCCGGATATCAGGGGACGTTGCCCAGATGTCATGGTGGCAGGTGAGGAGGCTGGTCTGGGTCTGAACTGCTCACACAGCTGAGATAACTTGTCACTCCAGGCCCGGCTCCGTGGTCCAAGCCTCTGGCTCTGGCTTGTGGGGTCTCTGCATCCTGTGTGCCTGCCCCCAGGCCATCTCTGGTCCAGCTGCCCCCCCCAGCACCTCCTCACTTCCTGGGGGGACTTAAGATTTGTTCACAGTTCATGGGGAGACAGGGGTGGCTCCCTCAGGCCCCTTCCTGCATAATTACACCACCCCACCATGTTGGTTCAGAGCACTTGGGGGACCTCCCTTCTCCCAGAGTTCCAGTGGGAAGTGGGGCCTAAGACCCCCCGCCCCGGGGTGGAATCAGGGGAGCATTTCAACCTTCTTGCCCACCCTCTTCTCTCTCCAGCCCCTTCCCGCCTCTAGAAAGAGCTTCTATGTCTTCTCAGGTGGCGGGAGACAGCCCTTCCCTCTCCGTGGCTTGAAATAAAATTTCCACGCTCCGCGTTCTTCAGATCCTGGTTCCTTGGACTCCAGAAGTCAGCCTATCTGTCTGTCTCTCTCTCTGCCTCTTAAATCTCATAAAAGCCTACCTGGCTCTGGCATGGGCCTGAAAGCCTGTAAACCTTGGCTTTGACACCAGTTCGCAGCTGAAATGGCATGATTTTGGAACCTAGAAGTTGTAACATTGACTGCGTTGTTCATGTGCAGGGTCTCCTCTCTCCCTAAAGTAAGGGAGGCCACAGTTCCTCGGGCTGAAGGCCCCCGACAGCAGAAGTGACCCAGCTTGACAAACGCACTGGATGACATTCTGGGATATGGTCCTGCTTGCATAGTTTAGGACAGCCAGCCGAGCTCTGGTCGGCGTGGGTTTCCCTGGTGCTGTTAGAACTGCGTGTGGTGCTGGCGGAAGAGCCAGGTGCTCGCGTCTTACCCGAGTCAGGGGACTTTGGACTGCATCATCAGGCCACCCCACCGCCTCTCAGGAGAGACGCCATGTTTTGGGTTCACTTGCTGATGGAGTGTGATATGAGTGCTGGTCGCTTTCCAGCTCTTAGAAAATCAAAGTGGGCAGTGTGGCAATGGTCCCTTGCCTAGAATAAATGAAGTGCGAAGTGAGTAATGTGTCTTTTCCCTGATCTGTTCAGTGTGTGTGCCGGGAACGCACATTTATGTGCATGCAGCTGGTGGGTAGCGTGAGTGCGTGCCTGCCATTCAGCACTGATTTTAGTCACTGCAGGTAGGTAGCTTGCAGAGTCAATGGGAGGAAAAAATAGATGTAGTTAGACCCGTAGTCAGTGTGATAGCCCATAAAATGTCTTGGCAACCCTTAGCGGCGTCACAGATCATGTAGGAGGTGACATCAGCAGGATGGATCCCAGGCTGGGAGCCCTGGTGTCTGGTTCTGGCTTTGCCATTAGTCCTGGGGCTGTTAATGGCCTCTTGGAGGTATCACTGCCTCTTCTTCAAAAAGAGAACGGTCCATGGAAGACCACCAAATACCCTCATAGCACTAACATTTCATGTTCATGGAAATGCTTTCCAAGACGACCGTGTGGTTTGGCACCTGACTCCATCTCCCTCTTCAATGCGCCGGGAGTGCAAGACTTGCTAAAAGGATAGTAATCACTTTTATAGACCACATTAAAACAGGTATTCGTTAATAAAGTTGACTTTGACTCAACAGCCCAGGTTGGTATGGATTTTCAGTACCCCAACTCGCCCATCTAGGCATTGCATTTCCAAAGGAAAATGAAAAGTTCTGCACGCTAAACACTCCATTTCCCAATGCTCTGAAGCAACTGAATGTCGTTCTGTTCAAATTCAAGATAATGAACTGGACCTCCGTGTTGAAGTCCTTCCACGGCCATCATTAGGACAAAAGGAATATACAAAGTTGGGGTGGGATGGAGGTATGTCATGGAAGGAGCCATCCAAATGCTAGAAACATCACATACGTTCTAGAGACAATAGTGCATGTGGATTTAGGTTCTAAAAGGCTCATCTACCTGTAAGTTGCCACATGGGAAGGAGCTTCTTCTCCAGAGAGGGAGAAGTGGGTCTCCTCCCTTTCCCTACCAGCTGAAACTCCTCGACACTCCCAAGCTCTGGTTGAAGAAAGCAGAGGGAAGGAAGGGCCGTTCAGCGGGTGATTTACAACCTCCCTTGGACATTGGAGACACCTGAAAAATTTTAAAACTCCTGAGGCCCAGGTCCCACCACCAGAGCTTCTGATTTAATTGGCCTGAGGCTAATTAAAGCTCACTAAAAGCAGTGAGCTTTTTCGTCTGCTGCCATGTTGAGAGCCACGATGACAGGAAGACAGCGGGGCCATCTCAGCCCCACTGGGGAACTTCACTGATAAACAGCCCGCAAGTGAAGGAGTGCCTGGCTTCCACTCCCACCCGGGTGTGGACAGAGTGCTGGCAAGGTCAGGAGCGGGGCTGGCACTGAAGGAGGGCCTCCCCGTCCGTCAGAGAGACAAACGGGTCCCACGCAGGGATTTGCTGCCCAGGAGGGGCTTCTTATTGGACCAACCAGAGAAATACCCAAATTTATATTCTCCTTACCGGAACATGAAAGATTTGGTGAGGAAGGAACATAATCTTTAGCAGAACTTGTTTCGACTCTCAAAAGTAGAGAAAGAAAGATGTTTCATAATCACAGAAAAAGGCAGTAAGAACAGAAAGCGTAAAATAGGATGGCAGAGGTGAGATGACATACACGGATATTTCAGTCCTGTGTGGGGATTCGGCTCGTCTTAAAGGACGTGGACTGTGCACCTGGCATGGTCTTGCCCTGGGACACTGCCTCGCATCTTTGCAGACCTCGCTCTGCTGGCGTGACGAGAGAAACTGGGCCGTGACGAGTTGGCTGTGGGTAGTGTGGGGGCCTCCCCAGTCTCCTTCTGGATGGCCTGTTCTGCCTTCTGGCTGTCGCCTCTGCCCGTGGGGTGGTTGCTGGGTAGACAGGGTGTGTGGTCTTCGTGGGGTGGGGCTTGGCTTCCTTCCAGCTCCGTCTTCCCTGGGACAGTCATGTCTGCTCTGAACTCACCAGTGGTCCATGCCCTTGACCTCTCTGGGTCGGGCATCACCTCCCCTGGCTGGGGTAGCCTCTCTGCTCCTCATCCTCCTGCCTCAGCTCGGAATCATGAGAACCACTGAGGCCACACGTCCCTGTGAGAGGCTGTGGTGACCTGGACGGGGATGACCCCCTCTCCTTCCCAGGCACTCTTAGGTCACTATCATAAACTGTCGGAGAAAGCATTCTACATGCAGAAATCCATAAGCCAAGATAATTGGGGGCAAGTTTTTTCAAATCTTCGAACTCGAAGATTTTAGAAAATAGAAAAAAAGGTCTATTTTATAAAAGCTGACATGCTCTGATATCAAAGCCTGACCAGAATATAAAATGGGAGTAATTTCACTTTTAAATACAGATGCAAAATTCTTAAACAGTAACAAACCCAGTCTAGCTCTAGGATAAAAGTATCACCCACGAGTAAGTGGTTCCTCTAGGGCCTGCGGTGGTCATCACTCATTAAAAATATCCTAGGGCTGCCTGGGTGGCTCAGGCAGTTAAGCAGCTGACTCTGGATTTCAGCTCAGGTGCTGATTTCAGCGTCCTGGGATCAAGCCCCATGTCAGCTCCATGCTAGGGAGGGAGTCTGCTTGAGGACACTCTCTCTCTTTCTGCCTCTCCCCCTGCCTATGCAAATAAATAAATACATCTACGGAAAGAATATTCTAAAACTAATCTTAATATTAAAAAAATATGATCCAGTTAACATCAAAATGAGATTTTTTTTTTTTAAGTAATCTCTGTGCCCAATGTGGGGCTTAAACTCACCGCCTGAAATCAAGAGTTGTATGTTGTACCAATTGAGCTAGCCAGGTGCCCCCAAAATGAGATTTTTATGGGGGGAAACTCAGTACAATGATAACTGAAGTTTATGGAGTGGAGTGATTTCATGAGAACAGGAAATGAAGAACTTACCTTATTAATTATTTTTTTTTAAAGATTTTATTTATTTGAGAGAGAGAGAATGAGAGACAGAGAGCATGAGAGGGAAGAGGGCAGAGGGAGAAGCAGACCCCCTGCTGAGCAGGGAGCCCAATGTGGGACTTGATCCCGGGACTCCAGGATGATGACCTGAGCTGAAGGCAGTCGCTTAACCAACTGAGCCACCCAGGCGCCCACCTTATTAATTATTAACACTTACTTTAAAGCTACAATATTTAAAATGATACATCGTTACAGTTACCTAAATGCGTCAGTGGAAAAAATAGAAAATCCTGAAATACATCCAAGTGCACATGATCATTAAATATATGATGAAGATAAAAGTAGTATTTGAAGTCAGTGGAGGAAGAATGGGTCCTTTGATAAGTTGTCTTGAGAGAACTGCTTCAGCGTCGTCAAAATCAATAATGCCTCTGTTTGCCAAAACTCAATGGAATTAAGAGTAAAAATTTTCACATGAAAAAATTAAATCATTCCCGGGATGCATTCAACTGAATGCATATAAATACATACATGCATATAAATATACATATATACATATAAATACATATATATATGTATGTATGTATATATGTATGTGGAGGAGAAAATAGGGATGGAAAGGTGGATGAGGTTAACTGTGCTGATTAAGATTTCTGTATGTATTCTCTATGTGCACCAGAAACCCCCTTCCCTGCCCTATCCCCAGGACATGCTCCAAAAACAAATGGAAGAAAACATGATAAATATAAAAAATATTTTTGACATTTTCTAAGGGGCTCCTAAAACTTTTAAGACAAAAAACAATAGACAAATAAATTGAGAGTAAAAGTTGAAAGTCTTGGAAAAATTTATGTCCTATGAATAGTAAATCCCCTTCTGAGGTTTACCTTCAGGTATTGATTGTGCATGTTTGTAAATAAACATGCATTGGGATGTTTTTCAAAGAGTTCTCTAGGAAAGCCTAAAGAGAACAAAAGAAAAAGAAGAAAAGAGTGAGAGGGAGAGAGAGAGAAGGGAAGGAAGGACCTTATCTATCCAGCGATATAGGAAGTGGGTTAAAGAAATTATGTCATACTGAGAGAGTTGACGGCTGGTCAGCAATTAAAAGTATTCTGGAAAGAGATTCACAATTATATGTATAGGAATGTTCTTTGATGAAAAGAATGTATTTATGTAAATACATACACAGATGTGTTCATCAAGATATCTGGAAGCTTGTCCACCAAAATGTTAGTTTAACATTGGTTGTCTCTGGGTTAGTGGGTTACAGCTGACTTTTCTCAGTTTTGCATACTTTTCTCCTCCCTTCCCTCCCTCCCTCCTTCCCCCTCTCCTTCCTTCCTTCCTTCCCTCCTCCATCCCTTTCTTACTATTGCCAGGTTTTAGTTTTGAAATTAAAAAATAACTATTTGAAAAATGTTATTCTGAGAACGCCTGGCTTCATACAGTAAGCCCAGCATGTCAGGCTGGGCCGTGAATAGCTGGCCCATCCTCTCCCATGTCACACCTGCCTCATTCCAGCCTCCTGGTCACCAGCTCCGGGAGGACGTCCCGACCACCCAGGCCATTCCTGCTTCTTCCTGCTCTGAGCTTCTGAGCTTTAAGTGATTCCCCACCTCATCTGTGCCCTTTAAATGTCGCACACGCATTGTCCGGTGTCCACAAAGAAACCATCAGCTCCCTGAGGGCAGGGGTTGGGCCTTGGAATTCTGTGTCCCCCTCGGGCTCCGGGCTTTCAGGGAGGTGGGCTGGGCCTGACTCCTCTGGAAGGAAGGGAGTACCAAAGGGAAAAACCAAAAGCCGTGGGCCCGGGAGGTCAGCGAGGGCATCCTCTGGCTGGGGGGCAGCTGGGACAGACATGACGAGCCCAGCCCCTGGGAGCGGGGCCGAGCCCGCCTTGTGGGGAGGAAGGCGGGGGCCTGCTGTTCATGACCTCTCCGCTCCCTGCTCCTCCAAGGATAACGTGTCATGTTAACCCGTACTTTTTGTCTCCATATGATGTGGACAGGTTCTAACGTTCCCATGGACCAGCCCTGCTGTCGTGGTCTCTATGATTTTGAGCCAGAAAACCAAGGAGAACTAGGATTTAAAGAAGGGGACATCATTACATTAACCAATCAAATAGATGAAAACTGGTATGAAGGGTTGCTACACGGGGAATCTGGATTCTTCCCCATTAATTATGTTGAAGTGATCGTGCCTTTACCTCAGTAAATGTGTAACTCACACTTTGGACATACTTTCATAACTGAAATGAATTCACACCAGTGTTCTCTCAGTGTGTCTGTGACATCCTTGTTCTTGGACCAACTTAATGACTTTTGTTTGTGCTTTCTCTTTGTAATGTATTTTGTATCTGTTTCATTTGTATAAATGATTTTCCCATCTTAGCTACATGAAACTATAGTTTTCTTTTTTTTTGCTTATTGTCCTAAAAGTCATCGGTCAAATAAATGAATGTGCTTCTTGTTGCTAAAAATAAATTGCAGTTATGTCCATGAATTGCCCGTTTATATCCCTCAGCTGCAACGGAATGCAAAATCTGAAACTTAAGAAATGCTAAATATTTTGTTTCCTGACATTACTGATGTCATCTGGTCTTTCCTTATGTTTTAGCTGACTGTGAATCGCCCAATAAATATGACACACCGTACCATGTTGGCGAAAAGCCTTGGTTATTCTTAATGTTGAGTGGACTTCTAAGCGCCAGTGTGGATGCGTGGATGCTTTTTCCTGAGTCAGCAGGTCTGAGAGTGGGCCTTCACTGTCCCCCGATTCGAACACAGCACACCCTCCTTCCAAGTCAGGGATAGAAGACTCTTCCATGCACTGCCAGGTTTATTTAAAGAGAGCTTAACACAACCTTCTGCTGCTGCCCAATATTGGGTAGGTATTTCACGCAGGTCCTGTTGGCATGCTCAGGACGGAGCAGGATCAGGAGTCAGGTTGAGTGCACGGTAACGAGACTGCATGGGTTCAGAGAGCCAGCCCCTGGCCTCGCTCAGAGTATGCACTCATCGTGTACTTTGATCCAGGGGTGCCACAGCACTCACAGGGGCGGGTATCCTCATCGGACGGCTTGCCCAGGATCCAAGAGCCGGTGGTGTGAGAGGCAGAGTTTGAACTGCACCCCACTGCCCACTGAGGTGCCCACTGAGGTCACCCGGCTGGACCTTGCTTTTCACTGACATTAGTAACAAATGCCCAGCGGCCAGGTTGGTTTAAAGTGACCAAAACCAGACTTCTCAGTCTTCTGGGTCCTTGGTACATCAGTAAAATCACAACAACATCCTGGACATTTTTCCTCCTTTCTTTTCCCACCAGCTCCCTTCCCCGACATCTTCTCTAAAGCAGTTGTATATATAGCGTCCATAATAAAATAATAATAATGACTAACATTTGTTGAGTGCTTACTGTGTGCCAGATGCTACTGTAAGCATTTAAATGAATAAACTCAATCCTCATAACAAACGATTTTGCAGATAAGAGAACTGAGATGCAGCAAGGCTGAGTAATCTGTCCACAGTCACACGGTCACGAAATGCCAGAGCTGGGCTCCTGACCTAGGTAGTCGCCCTCCCATGTCTGTGTTCACCTCTCTCCCACGCTACCTCTCATCCTATGTGTTTGCCCCCACATACTCACAAAGTAGCTTTTTATACCCCATCAGCTTTCCGTCTCCAGCTGCCATATTTGAAATTTATCGAAGAGAAGTCCAGAGCCATTCTTAATGCCTGTAATATGCTTCCATATCTTGTTTGGGAAATAAACTAATTGCAGTTAACTGAGTTAATAAACAGTAATTGCAGTAACTGCAGCTAACTGTAACTGCAGTTATAGACTGGGGGGGGGCGGTCTTGTGAGGTTTCAGTAAGTGGCTCCCCTCTTTCCCTTGTGAGTTTGAAATAAACTGACATTAGTCAAGGGTTAAAACAGGTAAGAGCCAGTATGTAACCTGCATCATAAAAGGCTGTATCAGAATATGTAGCTTAGGATGAGAGCAGAAGCATCTGCTAACAGAGTCCCAAAGGGATCAGACATACTCACCTAGTCCAGTCTGGGAGGGGTGGACTGTCGTCACCCGCTCTTAGAGGGACAGAGCCTTTAACCATGGCTGCCAACGGTCAAGAATGCACATTCCCTGCATGCAGGCCAGCTTCCAAGGAGGGGCTATGGTACTTGGGCCCGGTTCCTAACCCAGACTCACAAGCACGGTAACTCAACTAGCTAGGATTATTTGGAGAAAATCGCTCCTCATAGAAACTGGGAGAATGGGGAAAAGGTATTTCTATCTGGGGAATGAAGATGAGCATAGTTCAAAGAAGACTCACGTTATCAGAAGGCCAGTCAGACCTATATAAAAGGGAAAATGGAGTATTTATAAGAAATACCCTTTATAATGGTTTTTAAAATGAGTTTATAACCATACAATAAGGCAAGGAAAAAAAATGGCCTAAAGATTGAAAAGCAAGAAATAAAACTGTCTTTTTCTGCAGAAAACAAGATTGAATATGTAAAAAATTCTTAATCTACAAAAAAATGTAGAACTAATACATATATATTTATATATTAACATATATAGTAGTATATATAATAATATGTATACTGCAAATTTATCAAGATCATGAGATAGCATACAAAAATCAATATGTTTCTATATACTGGAAGCAATTATTAAATGTTAGATTTAATAATAAAAAATGTCATTTATAAGAGCAGCAGAAAGTACAAAATACTTAGAAAGTATTTGAACAAAAGATATGCAAAACCTTGACACAGAACTACACAACTTTGCATATAAAAATCGAAGAGCTAATAAGTGGACAGAGATAGTAATATTGTTAAAATGTCTGTTCTCAGGGAACCTGGGTGGCTCAGTCGGTTAAGCATCTGACTCTGGGTTTCAGCTCAGGTCATGATCTCAGGGTCATGGGATTGAGCCCCCCATCAGGTTCTGTGCTGGGCATGGAGTCTGGGATTCTCTTTCTCCCTCTCTCTCTGCCCCTCCCGCTGCTCATGCTCTCTCTCTCTCTCTCTCAAATAAATAAATCTTAAAAAAAAAGAAGAAGAAGAAGACAGGAAAATGTCTTCATAACCTGAAAGTGGGCATAAATTCTTAGGACAGAAAAAAAGCACTAACCCCCACAAACAAAACTGATAAATTAGACTTCGTTAAAATAAAAAATTTCTGGGGTGCCTGGGTGGCTCAATCAGTTAAATGTCTGACTCTTGATCTTGGCTCTGGTCTTAATCTCATGGTCATGAGTTCAAGCCCTGCATTGGGCTCCACACTGGGCATGGAGCCTACTTAAAAAAAAAATTAAGAAATTTCTGCTCATCTAAGAACGCCATTTAAAAAAGTAATAAAAAGAAAAACCACAGATGAAAGTATTCACAATACATATCTGGAAGAAAATAGTCAAAATACATATTATCTCTGACTATAGACTTATATTCAGACTATGTAAAGAATTCTCACAAGTCAATAATAAGCAGTTAAAAATGGCCCAAAGATTTGAAGAGACACTTCACAAAAGAGGGCATATAAGTACCCAATAAGCACATGAAAAGGTACTCAACATCATTAGTCATTATCAGGGACTGGCCCTTGGCTGGTACCAAAGAGACTTAGAATTATAGTGTACTGAATAAGGTATATTCTCAGAGACATTAGCAAATGTGGGGTCTAGGGCTAAGACATTTACAACCTAATTTGTAGCAAATAGGTTCTAGTGATCGTTACTGAAAAAGAAACAGTAGTTTAGAGCTGCATACCTACAGGAAAATAGGCAATGGGCGTGGACGGTTGTGTCCCGAGGCTTCTAAATATCTGCCCAAGGTTACAGCATCCCTAGACATAAGAACGAAGCCATCAAAGATACGCTGAGTGATAGGGTAGTCCAGAATATTGAAATCCACATCATTGGAGCAAGATCAGAAATTGATTAGACATATATTTAGGATGTTAAGAAAGGTGGGGTTGAAGGGAAATGGGGGGAAAAGGCACAACTGGATTAGTTTACAGTGTCCTACATGGAAGTTCACTTCTGCTCGAGAAGGAGGATGGTAGGTCAGGATGGGTCCAAGGTAAGTGGATTAGGGCTCCAGGGATGTCTTGTGAATTTGAGAGCGCCAGCTTGGCCTCAGTCCCGTGTGTTCATGAAAACACTGGGTCTGAGCTGAGGGACACCAGTTGCCGTGGGCGTCACTGCACATGCCAATGGCCGGACACCAGCTTTGACCTCACCTCATGTTGGATATACCTTTGATCTCTCAAAAAACCCTGTAATACACTGTTGGCCTAACCAAAACGTCCTGGAGAGAGCAAATGCCTGGGTATTTGCCTCTTGTCATTCCTTGGTTTATAGGAAAAGTCCGTTCTGCTATAGAAGGGTAGGCACTTAGAAATAGTACTTGATTTAAGGAGCTGGTTACTGGTGTCTGGCCCTGCCACATATCCCCCCAGCTGCCTCCAGGGGGCAGTCTTATGGGGGCAGGTCAGTGGCAACCACTTCGTCTGATAAATTCTTTTCCTCAGATCCTCCATAGATTTCTTTGAAACAACCGCAGAATCCTATAAGCCAGACAGTATTATGGTTACATCACGTTAAGTGTCCGTGTTGCAGGCAAACAACAGTTCGTAGCTCACCTGGTTAGCAGGGCAACTCAGCTCGACTGGAAGGGATGTAGAACGTGATATACTGAGTGAAATTCAAAATTTGGTGGGAATGTTGGGTTTTTAGGAAATGTGGCAGGTAAAACATAGAAGGACAAGGTCAGGAGTAGATGCTGATCTCAGACCCTGGAAATCAGCCCAGGAGGCAGACCTGGCTCCCCGTGCATTTGCATTTCTCGAGGGAGACGAGGAACTGGCCGTGATTGCCGTCATAGACGCTGACTATGTATTCAGGGAACAGCCCAGGTTTTGTGAGGGGAACTCGATAACATTTTCAGAACCACCGAGGGGCCTGGGGTGAGTCACCAGCAGCTCTCGTGCTTAGCATCAGGACCGGAGCACAATATAGTCATTTCCTCCTGGGAATTTGGTAATGGAAGAAATTTTACATCCAGATTTGGGGCATATTTATGTTAGCATATTATTGTTAGAGTATCTTAATGTCTTTTGGTCTCAGTTGTACAATCTCTGATCAGCTATGTCAGACAACACGGTAAGACATAATTTCAGGTGGGATAGAGAATACAGGATATAGAGTTTAGGTCTTGGTGGTGATAGTGGGTAGAATAATGGTCACCAGAAAATATGTCCTAGTCTTAACCCCCCAGAACCTGAGAATGTGACCTCACTTGGAAATAGGGTCTTTATAGATGCAATTAAGTTAAGGATCTTAAGATCCTGGATTGGGGAGGGGGGGCCCTAAATCTAGTGATTGGTTCCTTACAGGAAAAAGGACAGGGACACTTGTCACAAGACAGACACATCGGGGTAGGTCATGCGAAGATCACGTGGAGGCAAAGGCCGAGATGGGAGGGATGCAGCCCGCAGTCGAGGAAGGCCCGTAGCCACCAGAAGCGGGGAGGAGGCGAGGAAGGCCCCCCCAGGGCCATCGGCCGGAGCGCAGACTTGGCAACACCTTGATTTCTGACTTCTGCCCCGAAGACCAGTGAGAGAATACGTTTGTGTAGTTTTAAGCC